GCAGCCTGAGACCAGGGCCCTGACAACTCTCGCCATCTGGTCCTGGAGTGGAGCTAACAGGGCCGGAAGGAGGGATCGCTGAACAACTAACTTGTTCAGTGTATGATAGCATATAGGTAGTCCTTGACTTATAAACACAACTGAACCCAAAATTTCTGTTATTAAGTGAGACAGTTGTTAAATGAGTTTGTCCATTTTACAACCTTTCTTGCCATAGTTGTTAAGTGAATCATTGCTGTTAAGTTAGTAACATGGTTATAAAATGAATCTATCTTTCCTTTGATTTAGCTTGTCAGAAGGTCGCAAAAGGTGATCACATGACCCCAATGCACTGCAACCAACAAATATGAACCAGTTGCCTAGTGTCTGAATTTTGATCACATAATCATGGGGATGCTAAAAAGATCATAAATGTGAAAAATGGTCATATGTCCCTTTTTTTAGTGCCATTGTAACGTTGAACAATCACCAAATGAATGGTTGTAAGTTGAAGACTACCTATAACATGCTTGTGAACCTAATCAGATATAATCACTTTCATGTAGAAGAAAATGTATACTACCCATTTTTTTTCTTATTCAGGGTTGGCCAACTTATTTTATAGTTAGGGACTACACATTAATTGTATTATTATCTAATTACCTCTGAGAATCAAGAATTGTGGCAATTATGTTGTTATATTGCCAGTGGGAATAAGGCGGGAAGATTTGCATCTTCCTTTGAAACAGAAATAATATGGAGAGTTAAAATACATATAGTTCTCAACTTACAACCATTAATTTATTGACAATTCTATATTCCAACAGCATGGAGTCTCTCGAGAGTGGGCGGCATACAAATCCTAATAAACACTAAATAAGTGACTTACAACCACTTCTCACAATTATGATCATCATAGTAACCCCACAATCACATGATCAAAATTTGAGCATTTGGCAACCATCATGTATTTACAATGGTTGCAATGTCATAGGGTCATATTATTGCCATTTGAAATCTTTCTAGTGGGCTTCCGGCAAGCAGAGTCAATGGGGGAAACTGGATTCGTGATTCAATAACAACTGCAACAATTTTCTTAACAAAATCAAAATTAAAAAGTCAAAATCTGGTGTAGCTTATTTAATAAATCTTGCTTAGCAATACAATTCTATGCCAATTGTTGTTATAAGTCAAGGACTACCTGTACCTAGTATAGGTGCTTATTTTTGTTAAACAGAAATTATAATAGAGCACAGTCTAGAAGGACATAGTATTCTGAACTGCATTCAGTCTCTTAGTTTAATATAATGTAAAATAATTGTGGCACATTTTATAAAACTATTGGGCCATACTTTGTTTTTACTACAGTAATAATTTATTGTTACTTTAACAAATCAGTATGTCTTGTTTTGTTCATTTGTTAATTGAGAGAAAGATTTAAAAATATTTGGAAGGGATGGGAAAGATTATTAGAGAAAGGTCTCCATCTGTGCTTCATAGGAAGCTACTACCCTGATTTAAAAATAATGCTTAGTTGCTCTTCATTTTTATTCAGGCAGTTATGTATTGCTTTGTGTTTTCCTAAAGAAGAAAAGTTAAGTGTATATACTACTATTTATAAAGCATCTGAACTGAATTATATTGGTTAAAAATGTGAAGTTAGACCTACCATTTTCACATCTTTTGTGGTAAGAGTAGTTGTGCTGTTCCGAGAAAATTATTAAATAATAGGACTAAATTTGCTTTTTACATTATATCTTGTAGGTGCATGTCAATTCCTGTGACTATGAGAGCCATAAGGAGGAAAGCGGAAACAATCCAAGCAGACACACCAGCTTTGTCCCTTATTGCTGAGACAGTCGAAGACATGGTGAAGAAGAATCTTCCTCCTGCAAGCAGTCCAGGATATGGCATGACTACTGGCAACAACCCAATGAGTGGCACCACCACCCCAACCAGTACTTTCCCTGGCGGCCCCATCTCCACTTTATTTAGTATGAGCATGGGCATCAAAGAAAGACATGATTCAGTGGGACATGGGGAGGACTTCAGCAAAGTGTCTCAGAACCCCATTCTTACAAGTTTGCTACAAATCACAGGCAATGTAGGTTCTACTATTGGCTCTAGTCCCACTCCTCCACACCATACACCTCCCCCTGTGTCATCGCCTGCAAGCAACACCAAAAACCATCCAATGCTTATGAATCTTTTGAAGGACAATGCTGCTCAAGATTTCTCAACTCTTTATGGAAGCAGTCCACTTGAGAGACAGAACTCTTCTTCTGGTTCTCCAAGGATGGAAATGGGACCAGGGGGCAATAAGCAAAAAAAGAAAAAATCACGTGTGTTAGTGGATAAACCAAAGCATCAAACTGAAGATGACTTTCAGAGAGAGCTGTTTTCTATGGATGTTGATTCCCAGAACCCCATATTTGATGTCAACATGACCACTGACACTTTAGATACACCTCATATTACTCCAGCACCCAGTCAGTGCAGTACCCCTCCAACAACCTATCCACAATCTATACCTCATGCCCAACCCAGTATTCAGAGAATGGTCCGGCTCTCCAGTTCAGACAGCATTGGGGCTGATGTTACAGATATTCTTTCTGACATAGCAGAAGAAGCATCTAAACTGCCAAATACCAATGAAGATTGTCCTCCTATTGGGACACCAATAAGAGACTCATCCAGTTCAGGGCATTCACAAAGTGCCCTTTTTGATCCAGATGTTTTTCAGTCAAATAACAGTGAAAACCCATATACTGATCCAGCTGATTTGATTGCTGATGCTACTGTAAGCCCAAATAGTGACTCTTCAAATCAGTTCTTCCCAGATGGAGTTGACTTTAACCCTGATCTCCTGAACAGCCAGAGCCAAAGCGGTTTTGGAGAAGACTATTTTGATGATAGCAGCCAGAGCGGAGACGCTGATGACTTCAAGGGCTTTGCACCACAAACGATAAGTACTCTGGGTGTGCAAGTACTGGGGGGAGATGGAGGGGAGAGTAAGTTCAAGGCAAGCAGCCAAGCGGACACAGTCGACTTTAGTATTATCACTGCTACCAGCAAGGCTCTGGGAGCTTCTGATGTATTGGAGCATCATAGTGGAAGCCAGAGCCCCTTACTGAGTATGGGAGAATTGGGGAAAGATAAATCACAGAAGCGGGTCAAGGAGGGTAATGGATCTGGGAGTTCTTTAACGGGCCCTGGGCTGGATGGCAAGGGTGGAAAACGCAATCGCACCCCATCCAGTGATGGAAAGAGTAAAGAAAAGGTCCAGAAGCGGAGGAAGGTGGAGCCAGAAGGCAAATCTCCTTCTCATAGTACATCCACCAGACCTTTCACCCCACCAGCAAGCACAGGTGGCTCAAAATCTCCTGGAAGTTCAGGCAGGTCTCAAACACCCCCTGGGGTAGCTACTCCTCCCATCCCTAAAATCACCATCCAGATTCCCAAGGGAACAGTGACTGTTGGCAAACCTTCCCATGGGCAGTACACAAGCAGTGGCTCAGTCTCTTCTTTGAGCAGCAAAAGTCATCACAGTCATTCCTCCTCCTCTTCTTCGTCCTCCTCGTCATCGTCCTCCTCTTCGTCTTCCTCCTCGACGTCAGGCAAAATAAAGAGCAGCAAGTCGGATGGGTCTTCGGGGTCCAAGATGAGCGGCAGCCTCTACTCAGGCCAAGGCAGCTCTGGTTCAGGTCAGTCCAAAAGCTCCACCCAATCAGTGGGCAAGCCTGGGTCCTCCCCAATCACAAAACACGGCCTCAGCAGCGGCTCTGGAGGTACCAAGATCAAACCTCAAGGGAAGCCTTCATCGCTTATGAACCCTTCCATGAGTAAACCAAACATTTCTCCTTCTCATTCTAGACCCTCGGGCGGTTCTGACAAGCTGGCCTCTCCGATGAAACCTGTTCCAGGTACTCCCCCGTCATCTAAAGCAAAGTCCCCTATTAGTTCCGGTTCTGGAGGTTCACACATTCCTGGGACAGGATCAAGTTCAAGCATGAAGTCATCTTCAGGGATGGGATCTTCCAGTTCCATGTCCCAGAAGCCACCTCCTTCTTCAAATTCTTCAATGGGATCTTCATCTTCCTTTTCATCTGGCAGCTCTTCCATGTCTTCATCTCAGAATCAGCATGGCAGTTCCAAAGGCAAGTCTCCAAGCCGAAACAAAAAGCCATCCCTGACTGCTGTCATTGACAAACTCAAACATGGGGTTGTCACCAGTGGCCCCACTGGGGAAGATTCAGTGGATGGACAAATGGTCCAGAATTCCAGTTCGTCAGGCCACTCCATGTCCTCCAAGCACAATCTGTCAGGGAATGAATTGCAGGGGAAACGAGAAAGAAGTGACAAGGAGAAATCCAAAATCCCTGCTTCAGGAGGTTCCTCTGAATCTTCCAAGAAAGCACCTGATTCAAAGAGTGTTGGAAGCACTGGAGTGGCCAAAATCATAATCAGTAAACATGATGGCGGTTCTCCTAGTATTAAAGCCAAAGTTACCTTGCAAAAACCTGGGGAAGGAAGTGGGGATGGCTTAAGGCCTCAGATATCATCTTCCAAAAATTATGGATCACCCCTGATAAGTGGATCAACTCCAAAGCATGAGCGTTGTTCTCCTAGCCACAGTAAGTCACCTGCATATACACCCCAAAATATTGACAGTGAGAGTGAATCTGGATCATCTATAGCAGAAAAATCCTATCAGAATAGCCCCAACTCTGATGATGGAGTTAGGCCTCTTCCAGAATATAGCTCAGAAAAGCATAAAAAACACAAAAAAGAAAAGAAGAAACTGAAAGATAAAGACCGTGACAGGGATCGTGACAAAGAGAGAGACAAAAAGAAATCTCACAGCATAAAACCAGAAAGCTGGTCTAAATCTCCCATCTCTTCAGAACAGTCCCTGTCTATGACAAGCAGTGCCATCCTTACATCAGATAGACCATCTAGGCCCAGCCCTGATTTCTTGATTGGGGAGGAAGATGATGATCTCATGGATGTTGCCCTGATAAGAAATTGAGAATATTTGTAAATTGTGCGTGTGTGCAATGTTTAATTTATGTTCTTTTTAAAAATAACATTAAAATTGTGAGCATGGGTTCAAGTAAATCCAATCTGATTTGGACAGCTAATGGTGTGTGTGTGTATGTGTGTGTGTCAGATACACACACACACACATCTATATTGGAAGCCTGTCTACCAAGAGTGCCACACACAAAAAAACCCTGTTCAGTTATAAGTCTGTCACTTGTTCACAAGATTGCATTCCTTTAGGCAGAGGATGAACATTACCTATTTTAATAGAAATAGATCTTCATTGCACCACTTTTATATTTCTATTTGGTGCTTAATTTTAATCTTTTTTTAACATTTAGAGTTTGGTTTTTATTATTCATATTAGGTAGAGCTTTTCATTAACAGATTATTGGAAGCAGTATCTAATACAAATTTACAGATAGCACCAATTTTGGCACTCATCCAAAAGGGTGAAGTATTTTGATATAGATGTGTTATACCTATAAGGTAATTTGACTTATTTGTGTTATAAAACTAATTTTTTAAGAGTACCTGTGTTGGAATTCATGACTGTTTCCTGTGTAACAGTTACACAATAAAGGCTATCATTTGATGAGAAGCAGAAAGGGATGGTTTTAGAAACCATCTTGAACTTAAACAGAATTTAAATACTTCTGGTCTGTTTTAATTTTGTATGTATATATACAAACCACTAAGGAGAGTAAGCATCATGTCCTTCTTTTCAGTTGGTTGTATTTTTAACATTATGTACTGAGATAATGAGTCCTCTTTGATGTATAAGCCGCTCCAGAAATGTAATATGTAAGGAGTCAATAGTACAGTATTTTAAAGAGTTGTGTTAGTTCCCAAGAGTTTGGCCAGCTCATTACCTTCTTTCACATTAGTGAAATAACAGTGAAAGCATTTACGAAAAGCACCCTTGTTTGCGCTGTTATATTTTGTCATAGGAAATGTACTGAGACACCATAGACTTCCAACATTACATATGCATCTGTTTACCAGTCAATACTTCCTGTCTTCTATATTTTAACACTGACATTTGCCCAGTATTTTGAAAAACTGTGCAGCTCAGCACTCTATATGTATCTGGATTAGGCAATGGCAGCGTATGGCCACATCTGTACTGATAGATTAAACTGTGGCCTTAAAACTATGCATTCTAAATAAATTGATTTTTCCAAGGTATTATCGGGTTAATCTACTATTCTTGGATTCTGTGTATTAATGAAATATGAGGCAGCTTTCACTTAACCTGATATCCTGCAAAATAAAAATTCTTACATTTCCAACCAGCTAATTAAGAAATGTGGTAATTTTAGCCTTACACTTCTGTCAGTGCCAGCTTTGATAATGCTGTTCTAAGACACAATGGAGATGTACTTTCTTTGTATTGCTTTCTTGTTTATCAAATTTAGAGCAAGTTACATTATTGTGTCCTTACAGGTGGTTGATTGAGAATTGCACACAAAATCTATGAAATAGTAAGAATTATTTAACTGTTATTCCTTATATAGCACCATATTACAGATGTGCAATTTTTTATTGGTCAGATTGTCATGTGTTCAGTTTCTATAGTATTCCTTTTAATTGAAAATGCAAAGTTCTAAGTAACAGCAGCATAGCATTTTCAAAAGTGAAGCTTCATGAAAAGCTTGCTGTAATTCCAGACACAGTGTCATATGTAGAGAATAGAGATTCTCTTTCATTTGCAATAATTTTTGAAAATATGAATGGTGATAAGAAAACAAAATACAACTGGTTCTTTAAATTTGGGGTCCCCAAGCCTCGAGCCACTGCGTGTTTGGAACTGGGTTACACAAGCAGTGTGTGAGCACGCTCAGCTCCACATGGACAAGTGGTGGGCGTGAATGCAAGTGTGCTTGCCCTGCTGCTTGCAGAGAACCATTGTCGTCACCACTGCCTGTCCACAAAGCCAGAAAGGTTGGGGATCGTTGCTTTAAATATTATTGTCTCTTCATTTCAGTGAAGAGATTCAGTATTGGCTCTAGATCCATTTTACCAGTTGGCATTAAAACCAGAATGCTGTCAGAGTCATATATTCCCCATATATATTGCGTTGCCCAAACATGTGGTACAGAATATGATTTTCTTGTTATCTTTTGTATGTGTTAGATTGAACCAATGTGCTAATTCTAGAGTTTGCTATCACATGACTAAAAAGAATAATTTTCAAAAGAATGTTTACTTATTCACAATATCCCTCAGTATTGTCGCACCAACTTTCAGAAATTAAGATAGGAGAGCTACATGTTTAAATCTCAATTGCAGCAGCTTATAGATTTTTTTCTCATGTAAATATATGACCTTTACTTTCACTCTATGAACAATTTGTGTAAAGACTGCTTCCTATGACAGGTGGGTAAGGAATATATTGTATAGTAATGTTTTAGCTTCTTGAAAAGTATTTTAAACTATATGTTGGTTTTTACATATAAATAAATTTGTTTGGTAGAAATAGTTTCCTCATTTTGATTTGTCAGTTTCTATACAGAGGAAATTCTGATTATTAAATGCTATTTTTGAAAGTCTGTTGAAATCCTGACTTAACTATAATATTTAAAATTAACTGGAAAATGTAAATAATTATATTTTTCTTATCCCCATCAATATTCAGACACAATATAATTGCAAATGCTACTTCCTTTGATTATTTGGTGGCGCATGGCAATAACATAGGATTTAATGCACTGAAAACCGTTTGTCTATGCCTTCTTGTTCCTTCATTTTTATCCTTTTGTTCCTATAGACTTCATTATTAGTTGACAGAGGGCTTATAGACCCTAAATTTATATCCAACAAACAGCAGAAACAAGTGCTCCTTATTTTTATTTGTGATTTAAAATTATTGGAGAGCCAAGAGAATAATACTAATGCAGGACAAATTCCTTAAAAGGCAGCTTGCCGAAAACTATCTAACATTCCTGGCTTATGGAAGGAGGCTTAACACAAACAATGCATAACTGTCCTTCAAATCCTCTACAATGCTGGGGTTTCTTGAAATATCTGAAGATAGAAACATTTCTGAAGATGAAAAACATTGCTGAATGTGATTGCCTACAGCTAAGGTTAAGAAAAGTCACAGTTTTTATGGTTTAAAAAAAAAACACCAAATGAACTGTTATAATGGACTGAATCTATGCTGCTTTGCAGTTTGAGTACCGATACTGGATATTTATTTTAAAGGACATATGAGTGGCATTTATTCTGCTACAAAGCTAAATTAAAATTCAGCTAATACAAAGTAGGAGGTAGCAAGCAATTTATAACCTATTGCACAAGCTGAGAGAGGAATGTACAATGCATCAATATAGAAAAAGATTTATTCTCCTAAAATTATTATCTAAGAACCTTAGCAGAGATCAAAAGGAAGAATGTGCCTGACGAGATAGCCACCTTGAGCTTTTAAAGCCATCTCTAGGAGAGTATGCAAAAAATTGGTTTCCTGCTACAGCTTCATTATCTCTCTCCCAGTTTGTCTTAAAAATCTTTGTTTCATTTGATAAAGGGACTTTACTAATAATACCACTGGATGTGCTCAATATTATTCAGGACTTAATATCTCAGATTACATGTTGAGAGAGAACAACAGGGCAGTAATTTAAAATGTCAAGCTTTGATTTTAGTTAATTGTATCTAAGCTCCTTTGATGTTTTAAGATGGGAAGAGATCGTGCTTATTCGTATCTGAACCAGGTTATAATGTAAGAAAGGTAATATATTTTTACTCATGATGGTTCATATTTATGGTGGCCAAGAGGTCTAATATTAAAACTGAAGCACAGATTCTTACAATTCATCATATTTTTTTACTGGATCTACATGAAATCATAGAATTGCCTGCATGTAATCATAATTAGTTATATAAAATTTTTTGTAGCACTGTGATTCCAGAATTCGGATCAGCCACAAGTGAATAAGATCGGTAAGATCAAGAACAATAGCCAGAAGCCTGTAGCAATAGCAGGGTACATGTGGCAACCATTTCTCTGATGCCAGCATGGAAAGCCTTAAGCCCATTACATAGTATGGGTGGAAGCACCCTTGATTATATATCAAAATTGAATGTTTTTATATATTTATTATATTTATACACTGCCCATATGACAGTCATGCAGCACATAAGTCCATTTGCAGATAAACCAATCCAGAAATTTTCATGTATTTCTTTTCATAAATGGTTTATGAAGAAGTTATTTTTCATGATACTATGATTAAAAATACGAGCATTGGCTTAGCTGTGGATGGGCTTATAAATATAAAATATATGGGATATATGCAGTCTTGTGAAGTAGTACCAAATGAAAGGTGAACTACTACTACTTTGTTGTAAAGACAAATTGACAGAATTATCCAAGTCAAAAAATATAGTAAAAAGTAAGGCATGATGTTACATGGCTGCATCACTTAGGATGGTAATCCAGGCAATCTCGGTTGGTGCAACTGCAAGATATGCATATCATTAATTGACACATAGAGAGTCCAGGGGAAATGCAAAAAAGCAACAGAATGTACACATCAGTGAAGAAAGGCCAATTGGGGAGAGTTGCCCATGTAATTTGTGGCCTTCCCTGAAGGTTTCCCCATTTACTTTTCTTGTGGGAAGCTACCAAAAAATGTTGGTAACAGTAATAACATGACCATGGGATGCTGCTACTAGTCATAAGTGTCAGCTGGTCGCCGAGCATCTGAATTCTGTTCATATTAACACGCAATATGTAACAGCCAGAACCTCAGGAACTGGTTGTAAGTTCTTTTTGTTCAATACCATTGTAACTTTGAATAGTCGCTGAACACATTTCATAACTCAAGGACTACCTCACAAGTATTTTAAAAAAATATATTACTATACATACTTGTAGATAAACTTATCCAAGGATAAACTGAACTCAATTTTCTGAGTGTATTTTGGCACTTAAATTCTCAGCTCATCTGCAGTATACAGCATATTGGATTTCTGCTTAATTACTGTAATAAAGATTTAAGAATCTTTAGAATCATTCAGTCAAAACTGAAGAAGCTTCTTGGAGGATAAGCAAAATGGCTTCAAGGAAAATTGCTTTTTGACGTCCAATTGCCTTTTGAAAAAGGCAACTTGAGAAAACCATGACCTGGGTGATTGAGAATATCCATAAACAATTTGCTTTATCTCACTTTGAAACAGTTTGTACAAACCAAACTGTTCCATTCTACTATCTGCTGATGAAAATTATTTTTTTCTTGTCCTTCTATAACCGCTTTCCATGTAGTTGTTTATGCTTCTGTGAGATCTGTTACACTTAAGACTAAATAGTTCACAAGTCCAACAGTACACTTAATCAAGTAAATAACAATACAGTCTAATAATAGTTTCTTGTTTAACATTCACTTATGGTGCCACTTCTCACGGACATCTAGTCCCTGAACGTATTATGGAATAAGATTTTAACAAGCTTCTAAGATGAAGAGTAAAGAGGGCATTATTGCTTGGGGAAGACAAGCTCCTCTCCTGCCTGACATCCCCCAAAGTGGGGACTCTCAGGAATTTATTATATATACTGGTGATGGCAAACCTTTTCAGCACCAAGTGCTCAAATCAGAATGTGTGTCCATGCGTGTGTGTGTGTGCATGCCGGAGCATCAAAAACCTGAAGACCAGCTGGCTGGTATGCCTATTTTCAGGCCATTTTCAAGCTGTTTTTCTGCTACTTTGGGCCTAAAACAGCCTGAAAAACGCCCCCAAAATAGGCCATTTTCAGACTGTTGTTTTGGGTGTTTTCACGCCAGAAACAGCTTGAAAATGGCCTAAAAGGCCTGAAACCAGCGTGAAAAAGGACCTGTTTTTTGGCTGTTTTTCAGGCCGTTTTCTGGTGCTCTGGCACCCACGAAGACCAGTTGGCCAGTGTGCATGTGCTTGCCGGAAACCAGAAGAGCAGCTGGCAATGACGCATGCCCACTGAGAGGGCTCTGCAAGCCACCTCTGGCACGCATGCCATAGGTTTGCCATCACGGATATATTCTAAGCAAAAAGACAGTCAAACTTTTGACAATTGAATAGATTCTCACAGAAACTTCTTCAATCACTTAATTGAAAGGGAAAATAGGGTAATTAGCATAAATTTGAATGCCATTTTCAGGATTTCATATATGAGTTTGCTAAAGCAGAGCTTTTTTATTTTTTGGTAAGCCGTTTCATTTATAGGAGATGACGCTCTTTTCTAGATTAGGGAGGAATCTCTATATGTTCTGAACCTGTGGTGTTTTCAACATCTTTTTCCCAGGCTCAGTGAAAATGACTATGCAGCTTCTTCTCAGAACAGGTGGTCTCAAAGATATCCAGGTCCCAAACCATTTAAGGCTTTACAGATAATTGGATAGATAATTATTATTACATGAATAAAAATGTAGGACAGTTATCTGCATAAAGGGTAATTTATAGAATATTTACCTCTATAATGGAGGCTGTAAGATTCCTTCAAGAATTAGCTTTGTACTGCAGAGTATGGCAGATTATGGGAAAGCCAGGAGAGATTCAGTTGAATGCAAATTTCAGAAAATGAAACTCAGTTGGCTGCTAAGAGAAGGGTGGAAAAAGGTGTTTCAAAGAGGCTCTGCCTTAATTAACTTGCTATAAATGAGACTGATAAATTCACATTAGGGTTTGCAATATTCTGCAGTATTAGTTTAGGGGATCATAAACTAATATTGATAGGATATTGATAGGATATGAGACTTGACTCAGGAGAATTTGTGTTGGGCCTGGAGCAACAAATCATTGATCTAATGGGTGCAGAGGGATTTACAAGCATGAACAACATACAGTAAGCACAACACAGCAACCACCATTACTATTCATTTCACTTGTATGAGAAGCAGTAATAGAACCAGTCTGGGAAATAATTAGGACTTGCATCATTTGCAGAGCTAAACTTCCGGGAGCAGTGGCTGTATTTAAAGTAGGAAGCTCACCAGAGTGACTGATTAAGATGACAGGACTTAACCTAAAGAATTGTACAAAGGTGCTGTGATGTAAAGACTGTCTAGGATTTTATAAGGTTGTGTAACAGTAAAAAAATATTGGAGAAGAACCAATGTGAACGGCACTGCCAGATTTCTATCTTCCACTTATTATCAGTGGAAGAGTCTAATTTGTTAGTCTCTCAGAATCATGGCAACACTATGCTAGTGGTAAAAGTGGCACATGTTTATTAAAAAACCCTAAATATAGGCAGGATATAACTAGCTTTTTGCTATTTCCTGCAGAGCAATCCCATTCCTCTCCAATACCCCAGTGGCAAATGACCTCAGCCTATAATTGGCATATATTATGTCCACTTATAATTGATCTGCCAGAAGATGAACAGTATCACCTATCATATATAAGCCTGGTTTCATGAGAGTGTTTCATGAATATCACTTTTACAAAAAAGTTGTCATCCCAACTTTCAGGCCCTTGTCATCAATTTCAACAGCAGGAAGGAGGAA